TCGGCTGGCAATGCTGGGCCTGATGTCCCCCAGGACAGGCTGGCCCTTGGGGCTGCCAGGGCACTGCTGCCTCCTGTTCCACTTGCCCTCAGCTCAGACTTGCAGGTCTCTTTCTGTGCTGCTGCTCTCCAGCCTCTTGTTCCCCAGTCTGTCTGGACTCCCATGTGGTAATCACATATCCTCTGAACAGAGAGAGACAGCATTTTCCTGGGAAGTTGTGAGAAGCTGTGAGAAAGCTCAGAGAAAAGAATGAGAAACAATTCTTATCCACTTGCTGCACCTGTTGTTGTGCACATGTGGAATGTGTTATGCAGATTGTTTACCAAAGGGTGATTTCTTAATTGGACACTGGATGGTGTTTTGATTGATTGACCATTTAGGTCAAAGCTGTATTGGACTGCAAGGGTTACAAGCTTCTTAATAATATAGTATAGTATAGTATGGTAGAATAAAGCAATGGACCAGCCTTCTGCAATCATGGTGCCAATGCAAATTATTCCCCAACATGGACCGCTGCTATGACACTCCCAGGGATCTCCAGTCCCAGGTGCAGAAGCTGGCACTGTTCTTTGTTTAACTTCATGTGGTTGATGATTGCCTGGCTCTCTCTGTTCCTCCCTGATGTCCTTAGGTCTGAGCAGCAGGCCTCAGCCAGAGCTGACTTACAAGATGAATTCTGGGCACTATGTGACTAACACCATCAGTACTATTTAGCTAAAAACAGATGGCTGAGATGCTTATGCCAGCTGTTTAACACCAATCTGGCTGCTTTAGAAACTTTCACATAATCTTGTGTAGTTATCTGCAAGAAATGTATCATTTTAAGAAACTTTGCCAGCTGACATGAATAGAGGCTTGTTTGTAGAATATATTAGGGGAAAACCCTCCCAGCTGAGGCCTGGGCCTGGCCAAGTCCTGGCCCACCTGGTCAGGGAGTGTGCCATCAGATCCAGGAGTTTCTGCACTAAAAATACCAAGTCACTTTGACTTGCTCATTTGGGCCTATAAATCTGGATCCACTTTTGGGGCAAATTTGGAGTGCTCAGCCATGGTGGATGCATCACGTGGGATTTTCCCAGTTGCTGGGAAGGGTTCTCCAGGTCCTTGCTGTCCAGCGACTGTGGGCTCTGGATGATGGTGGAGTATTTAGGCAATTGGTGATGTATCTTTCTCAACCACTATCCTTTCTCCCATGTAGCAGTTATTAGGTGCATTACCTTGCTTATTTTTGCTTGTTGCTAAAGCCGTGTAGTTTTATTGAATGTATCGTTTTAATTTTTGTTACCTTAATATTCATAGTAAAATAAGACCATTCTTTCCATTGGTGTTGGTGTCCTTTAAATTGTCCCTGCCCATTGGCAGAACACTCCCATGTCACCAAGCTTGCTCACACTGACCATAATTTTTTTTTTGCCTTAGCTCCAGAGGAAGATCCCTGCTTGGCCAAGCTGGCCTTCTGTCTCGCCTCTTGACTTCCAGAAAGTGGGAATTGCCTGTTCTCATACCCTTAGTGCATGGTGCTTAAAAAATTACCAGCACTTAGGGACCCCAGCACCTTCAAAAGCATTTCCCTTGGGAACCTTACTGACTTAATTCCCTGCGTGGCCTGAACCCTGCTCTCCTCTTGGCCAGGGTGGAAGTTTTGCTGACACTTTTCCTCCTGTCATCAGAGACTTTAAACTTGATTGCTTTGTGGTCACTGTGGCCAAGATGGCCACCAATCACCACTCCCCTTACAGAACCCTCTCTGGTAGCAACAAATCATAGAGGGCACCTTTCCTGGCCAGCTCCCTTAGTACCTGTACCATGAAGTTGTTATCCAAGTGTTTTAGGAATTTTCTGGACTAGTTTGTGCAATCTGTGTGGTGTTCCCAGTTAACATCTGACACGTTGAAGTCAGACAAGGACAAGGGTGATGGATTAACACATGTTCCTCAGTGTCATGGTCCTGGCTGGGTGGCCCATTGTAGTCACCAGCCTTGTTTGCTTGTCCTTAATCTTACCCAAGGATTAGTTACCAGGCAAGGGAATGACGAGGGTTGTAGCTGTGAAAACCTGACTGGCTTTTGGTTTTTATCTTTGTGAACTTCCTTCTGCAGGTAACCATGCCAGCTTGGGGACAGCATCGTGTGCAGCCTGAACTCAGGAATTAGGCTCTTGTATTCCAGACTTGCAAACCATCCTGTCTGCCGGGGGGTAAGGGATTTCACCAGTTCTTCAAATGAAAATATCACCTTAATGCTCCTTGAAGCGGATTCAGAGCTTCCCTGTTTACTAGAGCTCAGCTTTCTAGAGAATCAAAAGGTTAACATCCCTACAGAGAACACCAAAAAGCTGCTAGCTCTTTGCATATAAGCACTTTGCATATATATGTTAATAATAGGTTGCCACATCCCAAATGTACTAAGGTGTGGCCTCAAGAAAAATTTGTGGTTAGACTGCAATTAACTCAGGGAATCGAAACTGATTTTCTCTTTATTTTCCCGTTAGGAATTACCCTTCTTGTATTGCTGTTTTGTGACTCATGAGGGGCTTTTGTTGATGTCTGAGGAGTGGTAGGAATTGAAACTGGGGACACAATACAAAGCCATGAAGAAACTGTAAATGTGTAAGCAGTGCTGGGATCTCAGATGAAAGAAGCGGAATGTGTCTGAAGGCCAAAAGACGCCAAGTAAACAGATTACTCAGTTTGATTGCTTTGACTACAGTAACCAAAGTTTGCAATAAGCACATAACTCATCTCCCAAGTAGCAGTTCTTAAAAAACTGGTGTCAGATGAACACAATGCCAAACTCCTAAAGCTTTTAAACTTCGAGTGATCAGAAGTGCACCGGAAGAAGGTGCATCAGAGGCAGGTCATGCTTGTGGCTCCCAGCCTGCCTGCAGCCTGGGCTCATGCTGCCCTGGCTCTGTCTGAGCCACAAGGCTGGACAGAGCTGATGGGCTCAGCGCTCACGTGCTGCCTCGTCCTGAAGGTCTGTACACCTGAGCAATGTGGAACATTTGGTTTAAGGGAGCCCACTTTCCCCTGCACGTGCTCCTGTGATCAAATTCTGCCTTTCAGCTGAGACACAAGGAACTTGGGCTGCAGCAGCTTTACTGCAAGCACCTTCTCTATCTTCACTTACATGTCATCCCTCATGATTCCCAGCCACAGAAAAACAGCTCTGCAAGGGTTTAGTCACACACATTTCAGCCAGTTAATGTGTAAATATGGGGCTCAAGCAGCTGAGCCTGTGGACCACACTGATGCAAGGTCACAGGTGGCTTTGCTGTGAACTTTTCAGTTCCTTGGTGGCAAGTTTGTAGCTCTGCTTCACGGAGTCTACCAAGAGAGAGTCAATCCAGTGGTGGATGCCCCAACCCTGGAAGTGTTTGAGACCAGGCTGGAAGGGGCTTTGAGCAACCTGGTCTAGAGGAGAGCTCTCCTGCCAGAGAAGGGTCCCACGGAGAGTCGGCCGAGTAATGACACTCACAACCAACGTGGCTACATGTTATCCCACTTTGTTCAGCAACTTGGGCATATTTATCCTTCCCTACACACAGTCTCATGCCACTAAGCTTAATGCTCACTGGGTAAATAGCTATATTCACACATACACGTTAATTACTGATTGGTTGTCACGCTATAAGAATCTTTAGCTAAGGTGTGCCAAATTAGCAGTTCCCACGACGTGCTTGGCATTTGGCTTCATCTTGGCACAATGCTCATTCTTCCTTGTTGTATCTCTTTGAGGCCAGTACATGGTCTCCAGAGTAACTCTGTAATCTGCAGGCCAGGGCTGTCCAATTCCCGCAGGAGAACATCATGGCCTTGTTCAGCCAAGAATCCTTCTACACCTGCTCATGGCAGGGGCAGGTGGAACGAGATAAGGTTTTAAGTCCCTCCAATCTCAGCCATGAACACCAGGATAAGTGTTACAGGAAACATGTAAAGTGAAAAAATAAAGAGCTCTTACACAGGAATAATTCCTTTTCAGCCTGAATTTGACCATGTGCTTTGAGTTTTGTTTGCCATTGCAGGGGGGCTTCTGGGCATAATTTTGATTTACGTGCCACGTTGCTCGAGCAGAGATGACCGGGTTTCCTGCAGCAGCAGGCGGGGATGGGGAGGCACTCAGGTAATCTCTATTGCACACAAACATGTCCAAAAATAACTTTTTCCTCCTTTCCCCTTTTTCATGTGTTTTGTTTCATTATGAAGGAATTTGTGCTATTCAGAACAACACCCTAGTGCAGTATTTTTTTTCTTTTTCTTCCTGCTACCCAGGAGTGAAACTAGTAATCCCTGTCCCCTTGCTGTGTCATGTGTTCATCTCATGTTGCAGAATCAGCAGTTTTTTGATCCAAGACAGATATCCTGTTATTTCAGGATAATTCTCCCTTGCTGTTTATTAGGCCACAAATGCAATGAGCTCCCTCTTAATTTTTTTTCTTTTCTCAGTAAGCTCTCCAGATGTATTGGGCCTGTAGACAGGATGTGTGTCCTTCAACTCCTTCCCCTCCCCAAAAAGCTTCTTTAGGTAAAGCTATATATAGGGCAGTTTTTGACTCTGCTTAGAAGTAAAGAATGGACTGGTGATCAATTATTCCTTAAAAGGCCGAGCACCAGTGACATTTGTGTGTCACTTGTGTAGGACAGAGGAAATGGAGAAGGTGGGATATAATTTTGTATGGTTGCATTCCTTAATGGGTCTGGCCTGATTTTGCCTCCTCATATTGCTTCCAAGAATAAAGTTTCCTCTAGAAGGGTGGGACTCAGCCAGTTTCATTTCAGTGCTGATGGATCAGCCATGAGGGGAAAAAGACTCTCAGCCAAATGAAAATCAGACAGGAAACATTACATGTACTTTGCTAACCAAAGCCAAGAAGTGAGAAAGCAGGATGCTTGTTTACAAGAGGAAATTACTGTAGCATGACAGCAGAACATGTGAGCTTTGCCCCTCAGAAACTGAGACCTCAAGGAAAAAATAAAGCACTTTTTATTACTAAGATGATGGGAGGTTTTTGCAGTTATTTTTTTCTCCCCTCTACACATCTGAAAGGGAGCAGGAAGTGGGGAGGAGGACGCAGCAACTCCAGATATGCATTGCATTGGCTCGTGGCTGGCTGCCAGGTCACTCAGCCACGCTCTCGCCTTCCCTCCGCAGGAGAGTGGGGAGAAAATACCACAAAACAGCTTTGAGATAGACAGGGAGCTCACTCACCAGCCACCATCATGGGCAAAAGACAGGAACTGAGGAAGATAAATTGATTTCCAGTTAAAAATAGAGTAGGATAATGAGACACAAACAAAACTGAAACCACCTTCTTCCCACTCAGCTCTTTTGCCTAAGCTCAAGTTCATGCTTGACTACCCTATCCCCTCTCTCTGCAAGTGTTGCAGGGGGATGGGGAAGGAGGATGGGGTCAGTCTGTAACGCCCCGTCCCTGCTGCAGCACGGGCTCTCCCCACAGCTGAAGTTCCTGCTGGGATCCTGCTCCTGTGTGGGCTCTCCATGGGCTGCAGCTTCCCTCAGGGCATATCCAATTGCTCCAGCGTGGGGCTCTCCATGGGCTGCAGGGTGGATCTGCCTCATCAAGCCTGCACCACGGGCTGCAGGGGAATGTCTGCTCCCACGCCCAGAGCACCTCCTCCCCCTCCTTCCCTGGCCTTGGCGCTTGCAGGGCTGTGGCTCTCACATCTTGCAGCTCCTCCCTCCCAGCTACAGCTGTGCCACAGTGGATTTGTCTTGGAGGCCTCTTGAGCCAGCTCTGCCCAACATAGGAACAGCTTCTGGTGTCAATGTACAGAGGCCACCACTGCCCTCCTTGCTCCCAAATGTGGCCAAGCACACCCAGCTCAGGTACGCATACTGCTCAGGGACAACGAGTAACCTTCCCCATGGGAGCCCATGCAGCATCCCAGCGAGCACAGCACGTGCCAGGCATCACAGAACTGCTGCCTCACACAGGGAGCCTGAGGGTGTCCAGGGGTCTGGGATGTCCCCGTCGGTGCTGGTGATGGCAGGGGAGCTGTCGGAACCCAGGACATTCCTCTGACTGCCCTGCAGGACTCGAGACCCTGGCAAGGGGATCAGAGACCTTGGCACAGAGTCAAAGACACCTGTGCCTTCGATTTTAGCCCATGGAAAAAACTACCAACTTTGTGTGAAGATTTACAAGCCACAAGAGTTTGAGTAGAATGATAGTTAATTTGTCACAGGGTGAAAAAGCAGAATTTTGGGGGTTTTAGAATGGGGGTTCAAGAGACAAGATGGAGGAATCTGGGCGTGTCCTGTCCTTCTTCTTCTTCTTCCCCTCCATCTTCTGCTGTGATGGTGACACTTCTTGACTGGTTTAGAGTAGAGAGAGACTGTCTAACACAAGCGATAGGTATTGGAAAATTATTGTAAATAAAGTACACGTAGTTTTTAGTACAAAAAGTTAACACCGCCCCAAGGGCGGTCAGTGTGCCATGAACAGACCTGCCAGACAGACCTCAGCAGGTCAGAGAAAGAATGTTATAGATAAGGGAAAATAAACAACCTTGAAAAGCAGAACCGACGAATCTCGACGACTTCTTCTGTCGTGGGGCTGGGAGAAAAAAGACTTTCTACTACCTCGGGGTCATCTCAACCTCAGAATCCCGGCATGGAGCGACAGGCCTTTCCGAAGGAGGAGTGTCTGGCACGTCCTTAGTCCCTGGGGCTGCTGGGAGCAGCGAGTGGGCTCCTCCAGAAGCTGTGCTGGTGAGAGTATCCCGTCCAGCGGGCACCACGTGCAGCTGCGTGTGGCAGACAGCTCTGACAAGGCTGCGGGCTGGACCAAGGCAGCAGATTCTGACAGCCTTGCTCTGTGCGGTCTGTAATGGGGAGCCAAAGTTTTAGGCCCCTTCTGCGGCCTTCGTGGCACTCAGAGGCCTTGGGGAGCTGAGCTGTTTTCATGAATATTGGAAAATTACATGAGAACAGAATACGTAAAAAACAGCCCATGTGTGTCTGCCTGGGATGGCTGTGGTGTCCTTTACCGCGGCTGGAAGCAACGGGGCACCTGGCAGCTGCGGTGGGGCTGTTTCCACGGCCCATGATGTCTTGGGAACCAGATCTTGAACGAGTTCGGATTCAGCAGTGTTGTATGAAGGCAGCGGTGCTGAAGCATCACTTCTTTTGGGAGCACCACGTGGCAGCGAGCACCACTGGTGTTCGCGATGATGCCTGGGATTTGGGATGATGACCGGGCAGTGCCGGAGCAGGGTTCCAGGTAGTCCACGTGAATCCCCTAGAGCAGGGTCGCCGCGGCGAACACGCACCGGCGGGCCCCAGAGGGGACCCTGCCGCCCTGTGGGGTGCGGCTCCTCCCGGGGCTGCGGCCCCTCAGAGCCCCCCGGCCGGGCCGGCCGCCATGACCAGGCGCGGCTGAGGGGCCGCGACGTCACTGCGCGCCGGACCCCCGGGCGGGTGGCGCCTGCGCGGTGGCGGTGCGGGATGGGGAGCCCGGCGGGCGCTCCCGCCAAGCGCGCGCGGTGCGAGGGGCCCCGCGGCCCCGGCATCGACCGCAGCGACCCGCGGCTGTGGGACACCGAGCGGCTCTGCCAGCACCTCGCCCGCTGCGGCGTGGGCGATCCCAGCCTGCTGCGCCGCTTCCGAGGTACGGCGGGCCGGGGCCGGAGCCGGGGCCGTGGTCGTGTGGCCCGGGCGCTGGTGCTGACGCTTCTCTTGCTCCCGCAGAGAGCGGAGTCACCGGGAGGATGCTGCTGGACCTGCCGGCCTGCGCCCCCGAGCTCGTCCGCGTCTGGTGAGCGCCGCCCGCGGGGAAAGGGGCCCAGGCCCGGGAGCTGCGGCGGGCGGGCCGTGCCCGCACGGAGCGGTGCACGCTCGGCCCGGCCCGGCCCGGCTCGGCGCGGCTCTAGGCCGCGGCCGCCCCAAACGCCTCGAGCGGAACTGTGCGGGGCGAGCGCCCGGGAACGGGCTCCACGGATGGGGCTGATCCCGGACCTCGGAGCAGTCCCCGTTTCCTGCTGATCCCAGCACAGCCATGGCGCGGACGCTTGCTGCTCAAATAACCATGAGAAGCAAAAAACCTCGATCCTTTAGAAAGGTTTAGTGAAAATCCCCTGGGTAGCGCAGTGAGCTTTGGAACACAAGAGTGAGCTGGGAGATGCTGGGAACACAAGAGTGAGCTCCACGGGTTCTGACAGGAACTTACTTTTCTGCCTGAAGTTGCTGCTGCTCCGCCTCCAGGAAGGACAGCGGCCCCGATGTTTGACAGAGCAGGAGGTGCTGCTCGGGAGAGGCTGACTGTCGCCCTTGGAGAAATCCAGGGCAGCCGTGCAGCAGCTGCCGGCACTTGGCTCTCTGTTGTGGCGACAGGAGCGTGGACTGCTGTGGAAAAAGAAGTGTTGTAGTGTGTTCTGGCAGGATAGGGGCCTGCGGGTGAATGGCCGAGTCCTTGCTGCCCTGAGTGTCCAGAGCAGGCAGTCTGGCTGGTAGTGGTCACCTGCACAAACACAGGGACACTGGATGCTGTTCAGGTGTGTAAAGGGTTGTTCCCAGCAGTGAGGGATGACTGGGCCCAAAACCCTTTTATCTTTCTGGTGGTGAATATATTTTCTTGCTTTTCTGGAACAGCAGAGAGTATGAATCTGTCCTGCTATTCTGTGTGTTGGAAAGGCCCCTTTGCCCCTTCTCTGCCCCACTGGGGATCCTCTTTTGCTCCCCTCTGGTGAGATGTGAGCCTGCTTGCTCCACCACATACTTCCTGGTGGTTTTTAATCTTGTAATGTCTTTTCTTTACTCCTTTGTTAACCTTGTTTATACTGTTTCCTTCCAATTTGTCTCAAACCCCACGTGCTGGCTCCAGCTGTTTGCTGGTGTTGTGGCTGGTGGCCCTGAGGTAGGCTGGGCTGTGGAATCTGGCAGGTGCACACAAGTGCAGAGCTGTGCTTTCTGCTGAGGGTTAGAGCACTTTGCTGCTGGCTCCTTGGCTGAAGGCTCGTCTGAGCTCATGCTGTGCTGAGGGTGAAGGGCTCTTCTGCTGTTTTTTGAGACATCTGTGTACAAAGGGGGAGTGGGAAAGGGCGGGTGCGTGGGCATGAGTATTAGAGGACAATAAAAAGCTGGTGTGTCGCAGCGGGACCAGGCAGAAGTGCTGTGCTTTGGACAAGGTAAGACGTGCTGGAGTCATTACGGTATTTTTGATTTCTCTTTTTGTGGAAGAGGGGTTTAACTGCTGCGGTTTGAAGTGTGCAGATAGAAATGCTGTGATGTCGTGAAGGCAGCTGAAGGCTTTGTTTCTTGCTGAAATACCAGGTAATTGCCTGACTGAAATGACAAGCTGGTGTCTGGCTTTATTTAGGATTTGCCAGGAGGCTGGTTGCTTCTAGCAGGGAAGGAGCATCGGGTGTCCGGGACACATTGGACATGTGCAGCCAGTCTGGGGAGTCAGAGACTGTCTGTCAGTGCTGAACTTGGGCAGCAGGATGGGGTAGCCAGGAGTCCCTCAGCATGGGATACAGGTGATGGGGGCCCAGGGCTGTGGAGAGCTCTCAGGTGATGTGGAGAGCAAATGGGGATGGGTTTACAGGTGGCTTGTGGGTTTTCTTTGTATAAGATATTAACTTTGTATAAGTTTCCTTCTGTGAGATCTGACATCTTGTTTCTATTAAGCTGAAACTGTTGAGAGTTGGAGGAGAAATTGCTCAAGCATTCCATTTTTTGTAAACATCTCTAAACAATTCTTTTGCTGCCCACTGCACACTGTCCTGCAGTAAGTTTGATCATTTCTCTGTGCCATTTCTCTGTGACAGGCATGTCTTTAGTTCCCCAGGTTCCTGGATGTTCAGAGGGGAGACCTTGGGCCACTGGTGCCTGGAGGCAGCTCTCTGAGTTTTCATGTGTTCTCATGTTGCTGGCAGTGGATGTTTTGTGTGGTGTGCTGAACACAAATGATGAGTGGGGCTGTCTGGCTGACCTCTTCAGGCACAGGAAAGGGATTTTCTCGTCCTTGTGACCTGTGGCATGAAGGAGGGTGTGGACAAAGCAGGGAGGGGAGTGGATGAGGAAGTGCCAGTTGTCACCATTTCCAAGCAGCCATCAGTAATGCTGATTTGACTGTTGGGGGAAATCTGCCTGCAGATCCCTGGAAAACTACAATTTCCTATGTTAGCAGGATTTGTCTTGCTTGGGAGGGTCTGGCCGTGTAGACTTCAGGTGAAGAATGCCCTGCAGCTGTTTTCTATCTGAAGGAGGATGAAGAGCAGGGAAGGTGGGGCATCCAGGCAATTGGTCACACCAGTATCCAGCATGCAGGATCTAACCTTTCCCCAATTCTCCTCCCCATCCCACCAGAGTAGTGAGTGGCTGTGTGGGACTGAGTTCCTGTCTGGGGTTAATCCACAACAATCCTTCTTGGAGCTCAGTGTGGGGCACAAAGGGTTGCCAGATGACAGATCTGAACAGAGCATATTAAAATACAAATAGTGTGGCCAGCAGAACTAAGGAAGTGATTCTTCCCTTGTGCTGCTTGGGCCACACCTTGAGTGTTGTGTCCAGTTCTGGGCCCCCTGATTTAGGAAGGATGTTGAGATGCTGGAGCGTGTCCAGAGAAGGGCAACAAGGCTGGTGAAGGGTCTGGAACTCGAGCCTTATTAGGAGTGGCTGAGGGAGCTGGGGTTGTTTAACCTGGAGAAGAGGAGGCTCACGGGAGACCTTACTACTGTCTACAGCTCCCTAAGAGGAGGTACCTTCTCCCAGGCAGGACAAGAGGACACAATCTTAAGGTGCACCAGTGTGAGTTTTAGCTAGAGATTAGGAAAAAATCCTTAACAGAAGGGGTGATTGGGCATTGGGATGGGCTGCCCAGGAGGGAGGTGGAGGAGTCATGATCCATGGAGATATTTAAAAAAAGACTGGGTGTGTCACTTAGTGCCATGGTTTGGTTGATAAGGTGATGTTAGGTCATAGGTTGGATTTGATGATATCAAAGGTGTTTTCCAACCTGGTTAATTCTGTGATTCTGTGTGAAAAATAAGTTGTTAAAAGCATTCATTATATTAGTTTAATAGCTGCTGGTGGCAATGTTGATTTCTTTGCCCTCAGAGTTGTATCATGGAACACATGCTGCTCTGGGCATCACCAAGGGAGTTTTTCATCTTAGGATTGTGGAATGGTTTGGGTTGACCTTATTGATATCTCATTTAGATCCCTGCCACAGAAAGGGACACCTTCTGCTATCGCAGGCTGCTCCAAGCCCTGTCCAACCTGGCCTTGGTCACTTCCAGGGATGGGGTTCCCAGCTGCTCTGGGCAACCTGTGCCAGGACCTCACCACCCTCACAGGGAACAATTTTTTCCTAATACCCAATCTAACCCTGCCCTCTGTCAGTTTGAAGCCATTGTCCTGACAGTGTCTGCCCTTATAAGAAGTCCCTCTCCCTCCTTTGTGTAGCTCTCCTGAAGGTGTTGGAGGGCTTCAGTGAGGTCTCCGTGCAGACTTCCCTTCTCCAGGCTGAACAGCCCCAGCTCTCTCAGCCTGTCTGCTTAGGAGAGGTGCTCCAGCACTGCCTTGTTGCAGTCTGAGCAGCAGCTACAGCCCAACAGCTCCCTGTCAGGGAAAGCAATACCAAAGTGGTTGAGAGGAACAGTACTCACCAGCAGCTCAAACATCACATGCCTTTAATATTTTAGGGATTGTGAATTATTAAATTATTCAGATGAGAATATGTAGTGCATCAAGCAGTATTTTTCCTAATAGTTGACACTTTATAGTCTTATTTTCTGTTAAATCTTATGTTGAAAGGCTGATATCAAACTGATCTTTTCTTTGGAGAAAAAGTATTTTCTCATGGTAGTGTTTGCTGTCATAGTGAGACTGAAACCATTTAGCTCAAGGGCAAGGCTTGCAGAGTTAGTAAAAGTAGGTGTGATAGGGCATATTATCTCTCTCTCTCCAGACTTGTCCCACCTGTGTTCTTAGACTGCTGTGGCTACAGCAGCATACCTGCACTGGAAGTTTAGGTGTGTGTTGTGAAGGGGACCTTTAATAATTTATTAAAAATGACAGCAAAATGTCTTTGCAAAATAGAAAAATCAATCTCAACAAAACTAGAACATGTTTTAAACTGCAGTGGTTTTGCTGCTGGAGTTGAAATTAATTTATGTAAAATTCAAGTTAATTTGACAACATTAAACTTTTAATAGACAGTTGACTAATTACAAGAAATTTTTATAAAAATAATTTGTTGGGACTCTGACATTTTAGTTTAAGGAAGTTTTGCATCCTTAAAAAATGTCAGTTATGGGAAAGCAACATGAAGCTGAATCAGTTTAAAGGACTCCAGGTGTGGCTTACACAGTTTTTTTCATCAGTTTCTTGGTGGTTTTATTTCTCAGTTCTGTGTAAGTGGGAGAAGCACTTACACAGCTCCACAGACTTGTTCTGTAGCTATTTGCTTCCTTCCTTCTAGACTTGATTTTAGAAGGATAAATGCTTTCAGTATTTTTCTGAAAAAGTTGCAGTTGCAGTCTTCTTCCATCAAGGAACATCAAAGTAATGTGAACTTCCATGAGTAATTGCATATGTACTGCAAATTGTAAAGGGACATGCATTGCAGACTTTGCTCTCAGTGTCTCCTTTTCCTTCCTAGCTGCCCAGCTGAGCGACTGGAAGTGCTGGCGTGCCTGACACAGATGCAGCAGCAGCACATGGAGGTGATGAAGGTAACCCATGCTATGGGGACTCCATGGCCAGGTCCTGCCCCAAGCCCTGCATGGGGCTCTGCTCCCCCTCTCTGCCTCCCCACTCTTGGCTTGCTGCTGCCAGCTGCTGCCTTTCCTTTGCCCAGCAAACTCTGGGCCCTTGGTAGTGCTGGTGTGTGAAAAACCACAGTAACTAGAAGAAATACTGGAATCATCATGTGGAAGCTTTTAGTGGGCACCTGCAGGTTGTGAGGGATTAAATGAGCAGAAGACCTGTTTGACGTGTGTTGGAGAAGCTCCCTTTCACATCCCACTGTGTAGAGCCTCCCCTTGGTTTATTTTATTAGTTTTTCCCCAGGCCTGAGTTAACAGACTCCTCCTTGCTTTCACTGTTTCCTGTGTCCAGCTGTTTCTGTTTCCAGCTGTGTCCAGCTGTGTGTTGCTTTAACCGGGGCCAGGGCTGTGCACGTTCTGTAGTAGTCTGCATATCTGCTAGAGCCCTCCCAGCTCAGTGACCAAGGACAGAGAGCACAGGAAAACCTTATTTGCCTCAGTATTTTACCAAGATATGTGTGTGATGGAATGGTTTTACCTGCAGTTTAACAGCAAAGATCAAAGATTAAATGTTTACCTTCTCTACCTGAGTCCCTGTAGTTACCGAGATGTCTCTAAAAATATGTGCTTATCAGGAAGTGCTTATTTCATATTTTGGTCATCTTGGGGGTTTATATTTTGTTTTAAGAAAAAAGTAACAATCATAATTTCCACCCAACAATATTGCATTTGATTTTGAAAGCATGAACAGTATCAGGCCAAACACTTTTATTGGATATCTCAGACGTGCATTGCAGTATGCTCCTTTAATTGGAATAGGAGTAATAAAATCAGCAGTTTTCACACATGTTAAGTTTTGGAAATGCGCAGTTGGAGATAACATTTTTAGGCATTTTGACTTCCCTTGCTATGTGAAATAGGCAGTTTTATCTTTCTGGTGTCAAGTTTTAGTAGTTCTCCAAGATAAATTTGGTTGTACAGAGAGGTTGAGGGTGCCCCCTGCCTGGAAGTGTTCAAGGTCAGATTGGACAGGGCTTGGAGCAATCTAGTGAAAGCTGTCCCAGCCCCTGGTAGTATGTTGGAACAAGGTGATCTTTAATGTCCCTTCCAACCTCAACCATCCTGTGATTCTGTGATAGATCTTGATATAGGGTTGGCAGGATATGTCTGTTTTACAGAAGATGAACAGTCTCTCCCACCAAATACCTGACCCACCACATACCTTGATACCTGTTTCTTTTCAAAGTCAAATTTTAATTTTTTTTTCTTGCTTCTGTAGGTTTTTAATGATCCTATTCATGGGCACATAGAGTTGCATCCCCTGCTTGTTCGTATCATCGACACCCCTGAGTTCCAGCGCCTGCGGTACATCAAGCAGCTGGGTGGCACGTACTTTGTTTTTCCGGGAGCCTCTCACAACCGCTTTGAGCACTCCCTGGGGTAAGGTGGTGGTTCTGATGCATCTCTGGCATCTAGATATCCCTGAGTTTGGTTCTGTTGCTGTGGAGTGCCAGCCAAGGGGCACTGATGTCTGAGCATTGGTGAAAACTGCTGGGAGGGCGTTTCTGGTCTCAAATGTTCCTGGATATCCCATATGACTGTGGGCTGTTCCCTTGAATTTCTTTTAGTAAAGACAGATAAACAAACCAAGGTGGATCAATGTTAGATTTCCTTCCCCACCCTTTATTATTCTAAGAATAATGTTAGCTAAAAACTGTATGTGCTTTATGTTCCCCAGTCAAAATACAGGTTTTGAAGAATAAACTTAGTAAGTGTACCAGGGCTACTCTTATGATCTGCCAGACAGCTGTAATCCCCACACATCATCCAGCACAGCCAAAATTAATTTGATCTGTAACGTTTGCCTTTGTAGGTAAATGTGCTTCATGCAATCCCTGGCAGGTTGTCAGGCTGATAGCTGTCATTCCATTAAGCAGAAATGTGATGGACTCAAGGATTCGTAGAGTGTTTCTAGGTCATTCACACTCCTCAGGAAAGCTGATGAATGACAAATTTGAGCTTGTTTTAAGGGTATATCTCAAGGGGCACTGAAATTAAGCTTGTAAGCGCTTTTTATTCAGGTGATCTGGTCAGCCTAAAGTTGCTTTTCTTGGTGCTGAAATATTGTGGAGTAAATCTTACTTATGATGAGATTCAAATGGCTCTTGGCAAAAGGGTGAGATGAATGAGGCAGCCTGGATTGATTGTATCAGGTAAACCAAAAAGACAGAAATGTGGTTGAATATAAACAAAGTTTTCACAACAGAAGTCTGAAAACTTCAGTTCTGTCAGCAGTTTTTCTTTTGAACACTTATATTGATCTATCAAGTTAAATTTAGGACATTTGTTCTCCACTTGTATATAATTTCAAAGATTTCTGCAGTGTTACAAATAGAAGAACTGAGCTTTGTGTGCTTATTGGTCTAGTAAAAAGCCATCAAACAGTGAAATTTGGACTAATGAAACGTATTACCTCGTCATAGAAAGCCTTGTCTTGCTTTAAGCTGTTCTGAAAGGGGAGCTGTTGAGGCAAGTAGAAAAAGAGGTTTGTGCAGAGGTTGTAACAAACAGTTTATGGGACTATATGCTATATATTTTCTCCTGCTGGTTTTGTGCCCGTTCAATTAAATCAAATCTCAAATCTAAAATGAATGAGAAGAAGAGAAATAATTGTCGTGAGCTATTAATAAAGCAGCAGTTTGTACCATATGCTTTGGTGACTGTTGTCACCTTTGCAGTTTGCCCTGACTGGATTCAGTGTAAGCTGAGGCACTTTAAGATTCTCACTGTCAGTAGTGCACTGCTGTTCCTTTACAGCTTCTGTGGGGTTGTGTGTTATGAAATACTGCAGAGTGCTGTAGAGTCTCTCTGTTTTGGGCATGGTATCCATTTGGGCATGGTATCCCATGCTTTTTTGCTTTCAGAGGACTAAAACTCTACTACAGGAAGCATTTTGGGATTCTCTCCCACATTAGTGTTTGGGTATTCTTTGCATGCTGCCCCTCAGATAAGGACTGTGACTTAATGGAGCAAAACGGAGTAGGGGGGCTTCTCTTTTTCTGTTCATCCTAAACCAATGCTATATTTCTTTCTTTTCCTCCTGCAACAGGGTTGGCTACCTTGCAGGATGTCTGGTTCGTACACTGAAGGAGAGACAACCAGAACTGGGTATAACCCAGCGAGACATCCTTTGTGTAGAAATTGCTGGCCTTTGTCATGATTTGGGTAAGGAACAACTGAGATGGATTGTTGCTCTTGGAAAGCTAACCAGGATGAAAGGCTGGCTGTGAGGTCAGAATATGTGAGCTGTTTTGGGTTGCTCAGTGCATGGCCATATTCCAGAACAGTTTTACCTGTTCTGTTTGGTCTGGAGTACATCTGTGGAGACAGTTCCACCTGAATCTGTAGCCACTCTTAGCTAGTGTTTTGTCCTGTGCCCAAGTGGTGCTTAGAGTTCTGCCCTCAGTGGCTGAAGTGTCCACTTCCTTCTGTGATTTCTCCAGGTCTCTAAACATTTCAGAATGAAAATTAGTGTTCCTTTCCAAAACTGTAACATTTATTTCATAACTACGTCTTTTCGTCAGAGCTGACACAGAGTAATTTAATATTCTCAGCGTTGCTGCACTACTTGTCTGTGGTGTAGGTGCTGGAGCTGGCTGTTAAGTGCAGTAGTACTTGAAGTATCTTAGGAAGGTGTACTCGTTACACCTGAGTCTTCCTCACAGATGATGGGGAAGGAATTACCTGGACGGTTGCGCTCGGAGCGGTGTTTCAGGCTCGATGTCCAGGTGGAGCCCTGTGTGGGGGCTGGCACTGTTGGATATCTGTCAGTGATGGGGACAGTGGGATCAATGCACCCTTGGGCAGTTTGCGAACAGCACTGAGTTGTGTGATGGGGTCACATGCTGGAGGGAAGGGATGGGGCATCCAGAGGGGCCAGGACAGGCTGGAGGGGCAGGGAGTGGATTGAGAGCAGCACCCTGGGGGTGTTGGTGCGTAAGACAAGACCAGAGGCAGCCCAGAACCCCCCATGTTCTGGGCTGATCCCAGCATGGGCAGAGGTGGAGGGGGATTCTGCCCCTCTGCCTTGCTCAGGTGACACCCCACCTGCAGAGCTGCCACCAGCCCTGCACTCCACCATAAGGATGGGGTGCTACTTATGCACCCCATAATTGCCCCAAGGCCTTGGAGATACACCAAGGGCTGGCACCAGGCTGGGAGGGCTGGAGTGCTCAGCCTGGAGGAAAGGAGGCTGCAGGGCAGCCTTAAATCACATAAAAGGGATTCTAGCAGAGCTCAGAGGGACTTTGGACAAGGGCTTGGAGTGACAGGACAAGAAGGAATGGCTTTCCACGGGCAGAGGGCAGGGTTAGATGAGATATTGGGGAGAAATTCTTCCCTATGAGAGTGGGGAAGCACAGGTTGCCCAGAGAAGTGTGGCCACCCTATTCCTGGAAGTGTCCAAGGCCAGGTTGGACAGGGCTTGGAGCAGCCTGGGATAGTGGAAGGTGTCCCTGCCCATGGCAGAGGTCTGAATGAGGTGATCTTTAATGTTCCAACCCAAACCAGTCTAAGACTCTATGATTTGTCAAGAAAATTCAAATACAGGAGAATTTACATCCTAAGCTCGCTCAAGAAATTTTTGCTGACAACTGTGTCTCAGACTAAACCTGTGTAATATTTATATTTAAGGTCATGGGCCATTTTCACACATGTTTGATGGAAGATTTATTCCACTCACTCGTCCAGATTTGAATTGGAAGGTAGGCTTTTCACTATTAAAGTAAAAAGACAAACCTGAGATTTTTAGAGGCAGAATAATTAATCTTTAAAGAGTTCCATTGCTTGTGAGGCTGTAGTGGTAGTGTAGTGCCATCTGGCCTTACCTTATTGCATCATTCTGATGGCTTAATTGAAAACCAGAATGTTGTTTTCTAATCTTGTGATGATGTCCTTGTTAGGTCTGCACTGATCATTTTGGTCAGCATTGTGCCTTAAAATGTGTATTGAGAGCTTTCTGCAGAATACGTTTTACATTTCAAAAATACCAACTGGCAGCTTCCTTTCCAGTATGTTTAGTCCAAAGGCAGGATATTCAGTAGTGTTTAGAATTCAAACTTTCCAAAATTTTGAACAGAGTTTCAACAGTTGTTTGCTGTGAATGAAGTGCAACACAGTCCTTTCAGGCCTCTCTCTGCTAGTAATTTCTTAGCAAAATCAGATGAGTAATCTTTGACACAGCAAAACTGATATTTTGTCTTTTAGCATTGTAACTGCCTTGCTGCTGTTTGTCAACACACAGAATTAACAGCTCTCTGCTGAAGAGTGTGTTTCTGGACTCTGTAGACCAGGTGATTTCCTCTTCTGTTTAATTGAAAATGACTAGGAAAGCACCCAGCTGCTGCACTTCACACCAGCCTGCCCATGTGCCCTGCTAGGCAGTGCTGATGGCTTGGAGTAAAGCTGTGACTCTGCAGGAAAGATGCTTAAACTATGTAATAAAATATTTGGATGGGTTTTTTTTCACAGCATGAAACTTCTTCTGTTCAAATGTTTGAGCACTTGATCACTTCCAATAAACTAGAAGAAGTCATGAAGGCCAATGGTCTTGTCCTGGAAGAAGATATGTTGTTCATCAAGGAGCAAATAGGAGGGCCTGTAGATGAAGCTGCCTGTGTGAAGTCGGTGAGTCAGTGTGTTGCTCCTGTGGGAATCCCAAGAAGCGTCTTTATTTCGCTGAAAGAACAGATAATTTTGGCTTCTGCTGTGTTACTTCTACTTCTGTGGAGTTCTGGGAATCTTGTCACAACTGATGCTGGAGGGGTATTGTATTTATTTCTTACAGTGCTGCTGATGTGTTAATGTGCTTACAGTTCCCTGAGAATTCTTACCCAAAAGCTTCCAGATCGGAGGAAAGCTGTAGAAAGTTACTTGTATTTAGGGAACCTAACTGGTGACTAAGATCCACTCAAGGGTACTGAAAGAGTTGGAAGAAGTGCTCACCAAGGTATTTTTCATCATTTACCTGCAGTCCTGGGTGGTCCCAGTTGACTGGAAATCAGCAAATGTGACTCCATGAACAAGGGTCAGAAGGATGATCCAGGGAACTACAGAGCTGTCAGCCTGACCTTGGTGCTAGGGAAGGTCATGAAGCAGATCATCCTGAATGCCATCATGTAGCACGTAGGGGACAGGCAGGGGACCAGGCCCAGCCAGCCTGGGTTTAGGAAATGCAGGTCATGTTCAGCTGGAAGGCAGGAAGGCTGTACAGAGGGATCTGGACAAGTTGGATCAATGTGCCCCATTGTGTGAGGTTCCACAATGTCAGTTCTTGAGTCCTGCTGCAGGCTGGAGTCAGGGCAGCTGGGAAGTGGCTGGGCAGAAAAGAGGTGCTGGTTGGTTGACAGTGACTGAAAATGAACCAGATGAGCAAGAGGACAAGGGCACCTGGCCTGTACCAGCCGTAGCAAGGCCAGGAGGACCAGGACAGTGACAGTGCCCCTGTGCTGGGCACTGCTGAGGCCACAACTCAAATTCTGCATTCAGTTTTGGGCCCCTCACTTGAAGAAAGACACTGAAGTGCAATAGAGAAGGGCAGTAGAGCTGGGAAAGGGTCTGAATGTGAGTATGATGAGGAGCAGCTGAGGGATCTAAGGGGGCTTGGCCTGGAGTAAAGGAGGCCTCCTCCAGTCTTGATAACAAAACTGGGCTCTGGCAGTGATGAGGCAGTGAGCAATCCAAGCCTGGCCCAAGTGCTAGAGCCACAAGAGCTTTGATGACAGCAGCGAAATGCTTTGATTTATTGCAGTAGCAAACATAGAGGCAGGGATAAGACTTGAAGAAATGAGTTGCCTCAAGAGGCAAGCAGGAAGGGATGGCAGTTCTTAATCATTGCAATTCTATGAAAGACCTCAGTCCCCTCTCCTCATTTTACACTTTACAGCTTTTGTCATCTCTTCAGGGACGCTCATTCAGTTGCCACCAGAGTAAACAACTGGTAGCAGCTGAAGTCAGTGGGAGATCTGTCAGGACAGTCTGGTCCTAATCAGAATTTATATACAGTCCCAAACAAGTAACCCACAAATGTTCACACTTGCCCATTATTTTCTGCTGCAGGAGTGGGTAGCAATCCCATGGCAAATACAAGGAACTTGGCATGGTGAAATTGAGTCTGAGATGCTATAGGAAGAGGACATCCATTTACAAAATCCACAAGCTGACTTTTATCCCACTGGACTCATTTGCACACAAATCTTGGTGCCTGCCACTAGCATTGATCTTGTGCCAGGTTCTTTCCCCGTGTCTGTTTTGCCTTGTTTGGATTCTGTTCCTGTTTTCCAGCAGGATACCAGGTGGAGGAGTGCCACACGTGATACATGGCAGCACCTTCCCCGTGTTAGGCAGCAGATTGCACTGGCAGGCTGTGCACTGTGGCCTCTGTCATGACATGGACAGTGGGTGTTCAGGCACCAGACATAAACAGTGTCCTGAACATGTCCCAGTAGCAGAGCTCTGTGGTCATGGTATTTTTATCCATGATGTGCTTGCATCCTGCTGCTTGCATGTGTTTCTGTTGCTATTCACATCAGTTTTAGTATTTCTGTAGTGCAGGTAACATTGAAGCCATGTTTGCATGTAATGCTTTCCACTTTCAGAATTTCAAGGCCACTTTATGGCATTTTTTTAGGTGAAGGATCTTTAATATTTCAAGAAAATGTGCACCTTTTATCTTACTATTTTGGCGTTCATTTCCTGTTCACCTTATGGCTGAGTTGTCCCTTGTGAGGCAGGAGTTTAAGTAGCTGAATATTCAAAAACTTTTTCGTAAAACTTCTAAGTGTTTTTAAACTCTGTTCTATGGAGTTGTAGATTGCAGAAGATTGCAGGACAGTGTCATATTTGTGTACTTAATTCCCTGAAAATTAAATCATTCCAAAATTTCCCCTCTTTGCTGGTATGTTGTTTTTTTGGTTTTTCATTTCAAAGAAATGCAGACTTTCTTTTAGTAGAGTAATGGGCAATAAATACTTGTGTTCATGGGTTTTATTCTTCTTGAGATTATGAGAAGACAGCTACTTAGGCCCTCTTCTGGATTTCTAATGCCTGATAGCTTCTGGAAGTTCTTTCCTTGTCTTTGTGTTCTTCACTATCTCAGTGTTGGATGTTTATCACAAGCAAAGTCAAGGTGTATTCCCACTTTAAAAAACCATTTGTCTTTAAAAAACCATTTGACATTGTTGGTACACTTTAATTTCTTGTTGTTTCTGCTGTTTTTCTTCTTGCTTCCCCTGCCAGTGGCCCTACCGTGGTCGACCAAAGGAGAAAAGTTTCCTCTATGAGATTGTAGCTAATAAAAAAAATGGCATTGACGTTGACAAGTGGGATTATTTTGCAAGGTACAAATCTTATATTTTATTATGAATTCCTATTGAGAAAATGCTACTGTATGTACAAAAATGATCATATCATTAAACCCTCTGTGGAATATTTCTAGGGATTGCCATCACCTGGGAATCCCGAATAACTTTGACTACAAGCGATTGCTTATCTTCACTCGGGTCTGTGAAGTGGGAAACCAAAAGCACATCTGCACCCGTGACAAGGTGAGCAGTGTGTGGAGCCCAGGGGCTCAGAGCACCGGGGGGCACACAAGGGAGCTGCACCCCGGGGCTGGGGATCCTGCCCATGCTCCCTTAGCCCAAGAGCAAGAGAAGTATTTGCTGCTCTGAAAGTTTTTCTCAGAAGCTGCTGTTTGGGAGAGGGACAGAGCAAAGCACTATTTGAAAGGATTTGTGGCAGATCCTGTCAGGGGATACTCTACAGACACGTCAGATCTGCGTAATCCTGCTCCAGGTCTGCTGGGCTGGCATTGAATGTGGCTGTGGTGAGGGGCTGCTAAAGGGATGAGGGGTCCTTTTGCTGCCAGGCTGCTTGGGGCACTGCCAGCACTGCTCTCCTGCGGTGCCCTGAGCCAGTTTCAAAATCTGAAAGCTGTGAATAATAATCATCCTGCTTTATGCTGTGAATGGGAGGAGACAACTAGTTTGATTAATTGATTGATTGTTTTAATTTTCCTGGTAAGACAGTGGCAAATATAAATGCTGATGGGGTTTTTTTGATTCAGGAAGTTGGAAATTTGTATGAGATGTTCCACACCCGGAATTGCCTGCATCGGAGAGCATACCAGCATAAGACTGGCAACATCATTGAAATAATGCAAGTATATTTTCCTTTCCTTCCTTTTCAATTTATATTTAAATTCTTGAAACAGTCCGTATCCATTTGGAATATTCAGAAAATCAATAAGGTGTGACAGAGAATAAAAGCTACTTCTGATTCTTTTGAAAAGACTTAGTGCTTAGAGTGTCATAGAGGCTGTGCTTAACAAAGCAAACAACAACAGAAAGAGAGGACAAAAGCATCCTTCCACATTAAATTAAATTAGAGAAGAATTACTAAAGGCCTGAAGAAGCACAGGACCAGGGTGTGCTTAAACCATTTAAACTGCTGACAGCTGAAGTCAAATCCTTATCTGCAAGTTAGAGACCACTTAGCTCAAACTGCCTGGTTACTAGAACAAGGTTACTAACAGAGTCATGAAAGGGCTCATGTAGCTCAGCTGAGGCCTGGCTTTGTGTTTATGTAGTGCAAGATTTGTTCAGGACCAACTCAGCTGGTACCTGCTGTTTTACCTCTGTTGTTGATGTCTATAGAATTTTCCCTATAACATTATTCTTACTTTTCTTGAGAATCAGAAATATTTGTATTCCTAAATATTTTTTCCTTAGGGTCTTGTCTGCTGGGTAACTGTCCGTTGAGTTTGGTAAAAAGGAATGTTAAGGATTACACAGTACAAGAGTGATTTGGATTGCTTTCATTTCAATAAACTTCACCTCCTGATTTAGGGATCCTCTAAAACTCAGACTAAAAATGCTCAGGTTTGACAGTACCTACATATAACAAGTAAAACATATTTTTTAGTTTAGAAAAACTCAGTTCTTGTCTTCCTATAATTATAGCAGCCTTTCGAAAGAGTGTCCAAGCTGGAAATGACATCAAGGTACATGGAAGAATCTCATCTTTAGAGTATAATTTTTTCCCATCTGAAAATACTACATGTTTGTGATGCTTTCCCTTTACAATGTTTTACCCTCTCAGCTAACTCAGGAAGCAAGGAGTCTGCAAAAGGGCTTTGTCATCTCTAAGGAAGGCTTGCTGCAGCTGAGGGACCATGTCACCATTTTGCAGGGTTCTGCAATTGTCTCAGCAGAGCTAAACCCAGTCTAAAGCAGAACAAAATGAATTTTCTCATTCATCTAAAGGTTATATTCTGTTCCGCAACAGTCTTCAGTCAATCTCTGTTGGAATGGGCAGTGACAGCATGGAGACAAGGTGTTTCAGTGCTCACTGTGTGCTGGGGATGGCTTCATCTGTTGTCTTCTGTTTACAACACACTAATTTGCTTAATTTTGCCTGTTGTTCAGTGAGGTGTTTCAAAACTATATTATCCCAAAGCCGTAATTTTTTCTCAAACTAGGATAACAGAAGCCTTTCAAAAAGCAGACAAATATTTTGAAATAAGAGGCTCTGGAGGAAAAGTGTATCGTATTTCTACAGCAATGGAGGACATGGAAGCCTACACTAAACTAACTGGTATGAGGTCTCAGATTTATTTTTTTAAGTAAAAGAGCATGAATACCTGTTAAAATGCTGGTTTTACTGCTTTTGTGCGCAGAAGGTGGGGCAGGCCTGGGCTGTCTAATGCTTGTGCTCTGAAATCTTGCTAGAAGGGAGAGCAAGACCTTCTAATTTAAATGACTTCTGTGTGGAGAGAGAGAGAGAGAAAGAAGCACCAACTTTATATTCCACATATGTTCAGATTCAGCAGTGTTAGAAGGTTCTGCCCGTGCCCTGAGTTTGTTGCACTTGTCACAAGTGGGATGTGAGTGAGCTCTAAGTGGTATTACAGGTGGCTCTATCAGGTGGAGTACTGGATGTGTTTTGTGGTGTGAAGCTATTCCCAAAGCATGTTCCAAATAGCTCTCGTGGGGTCTCAGGTTGCCCTGCTTGCCTCCCTCTCCTGGTCTGTGCTGTGGGGCCCCAGTGTTCCTCTGGCTGTTTTCAGAGCTGCAGTGGGGGCTAGGCAGCTTAGTGCTCTGTGCGTGGCTCTGTGCGTGCAGGTCCTGCTCAGGGCTGCTCCTGACCACTGGCAGCTACAGCTCACCAGAGCTTCCAAGCTGACCCTCCTGAGTTTCCATCACCAAGCCTTAGCTAGCCAACACAGAGACTGAAGAACTTCTGTCTTTGGTCCATGGATGAAGTGACAGGGCCTGAGGGCACTGTTGCAGAGAATCCCGTGCGCCTTAGCCTTTGTCATGCTAAAGGCCTTCTGCTGGCAGTCCTTGGTATGCCACAGCCACCTGCAGTCTGCTTCGGTGCGGAGTCCCCTCTGTCATTGTGTGTTCTGCTCAGGGCAGGACAAAGGTGGCTGGTTTGAGGGGCAGTAGTTGTTGGGGAACATGAGCTGCATTGCTGAGCAGTGCAAGGCTGGGCAGAAAGGAGAGAACAGGGCTGAAGTTGTTCCTGGGCCTGTTCCTGCGGGACGGCTGGCCTGGCGGGTCCTGCTGGAACTGCCTGGTACCTGGTGAGGAGCTCAGGGCAGGGACAGCAGGGCTGTGCCCAGCCTCTCACAGTCTGCCTCGGCAAGGAGCTGCTTGCTGGGACCATCTGTTCAGCAAGGAGGGCTGAACAGCAAGGGTGAGTGATGTGGGGAATGTTCCAGCATGTACAATGGAACATGAAGGACGAGTATGGCCTCCTCTTAAACCTCCTTTCTGCCTCTGGTGCTGTGGAGGGTAAGATTTTTCCTTTTTTTCTTTTTGCTCAGGGAACTTTCTTCCATTTGTTGCCTGCGAGATGGGAATGAACAATACTTAAGAGAGAGAAAAGATGTAGCCAAGGAGGAGGGGGAAGGGTGCAGTTTGCTCCCATTCTCTTGGGAAGGGCAGAGATAGCGGGAGATTTTGGCTGAGGGGCTGGGCTCAGCTCTGCTCACTCTCGCCCTCGGGATCAGAGCGGGGATGGGCAGGCTGCTGCTGTGGGAGGATTTGCTGCCACCGCCCAGTTCTGTCCTGCGCTGCTTTCTGCTTACCGGGGGTGAGCTTCTGCTCATGAGAGCAGCTGCTGAGCTGGGACCTTTCCAACACCCAGCCTCAGTGGGACGGGGACCCGGCCCCCTCCCCATTCCCGGGAGAAGGCGGCCCTGGGGCTCTGCGGCTGCTCCTCGCTGTGCCGGGGCTGCCGTTTGTCTGCCGTGTTATACACACACACGCTGGCAAGGAACTGCTATTCCTTTTCCCATATCTTTGTCTGAAAGCCCTGGAATTTCAAAGTGATAATAATTTGAAGGGAAGGGGTTCATATTCGCCATTTCAAGGGAGGTTCCCATCTTCTCTGGCAGACACCTGTCCTTTAATCCAGGACAAGTGCTTGCAACCTGGACACTCCAAAGTTATTTCAGCAGTCCCTGGTGAGTGATGTTTCTGTGAAATTGTCCAGTTATGGACCTCGACAAATTATGAGCCTCTGGGAGGTTCTGCAGCAGGAGGTCCCCTAGTTTTCTTCCATGGTGGGTGAAGAGCCACCATGGGTTGCCTCCTGATTTGGCAGCAAATCCTAGTTCTAGTAAAGGCTGAGACAGCAAAGCATTCCTTGTCACTGCTGCTTTTGCACAGGGAAGATGTTCGTGGGCTTCGTATTTGCCCTGCATTACCTATTCTTTGTCTCAAGAGACCTGGTCTGTGGCTCTTCATGGAGGAGTTGCTGGCTTTGGTTGTGCTTGTCCATTAAACCAGTTGAATGTGTTTTGGTACATAGCTCAGAGATTGTTCTGGACCCCGTTGGAAGCTCCTCAGGCCAGTTGCAGCTCCGGGTGGGCTCTTGCAAGGCTGTGCTTGCAGCATGTGTCGAAGCTGCCCAGGTGTTCCTGGCCAGGGAATGCAGTCGTGGGGTGCAGATCAGGCCAGCAGCATCCTGGCAACAGCAGTCTCTAGGACAGCCAAAAATAACCCTTCGGTTCTGAAGCCACATCAAAAGAAACCTGTCTTGCTCCAGCTGATGGTGGGAATCTTGCTGCATGTGTCACTGTCGTGTGGAGTCAGGAGGGAGGATTTTGATGCTGGCATCCAAAGTCTGAGAAAACCTGAAAGATTAATGGCCATTCTTTATTTTTTTACAAGACAGAGTCTTTACCCATGTCCTGAGCTAGTTAGTGGTGGAGTTCAGGATAGTGTGATAAACAAGACTGGCTAAATAAGAGGAGAAAGTAACTTCTAGTGAAATAACAAAGTATATTGCCAAGGTGAGAATTGAGATAGTTTTTCTGCCAACAACCATTGTGAATCTGATGATAATTAAGATAATATTGTGACTTCTCATTGTCAGACTTAGTTCTGTCACTCCCTGAAAGCGACTTTCCTGAGCCAGCAGTTTTTCTGGTTGCTTTAACCTTTAGCCCTGTTTGTTCGTTTTACTGTGACACTGGATTGTGACATACATAACAAAAATCAATGGAACTTTGGCAGACTGTGTCTACCTGGAAATTCTGCACTCAAGTCACCCAGAGCTGGAGGAGGCACGAGAAATTTTGCGTAAAATAGAACGACGTGAATTATACAAGTTTTTAGGAGAGACTCGACCTGAATCAAAGAAGGAAATTATAAAGGTAATGTCCCTTAGCAGAACGTTCTGAATTCTGTCCCCATAAAAATGTTCTTGAAGTTGCTGAACATCCATTTATCTCTGTGTGGGCTTTGTTTAGTTTGAGGATTTGGGGATTTTTTTGTTATTTGGTATTCAAAAATAGAGTTAGAAGTTTTCCGCCCATCTTTAAGTAGCTGAGCCATGAAACATTTAAGAAACTGGGGAAAGTTGTATCTACAGACAGTCAAAGAATGCCAACAGGTGAAAATTCAGAAGCTGAATTATTGCAGAAATATTTTAATGAAAAGCTTTTCTGAAAAATACAGAATTTTATAGAAGATTCTTACAGTCCAGTGATTGAAAAGGTTATTATATCATTTGATGTTCATGAAAAATTTCAAGACAATAAGGAACACGTTTGCTTTGAATCACAATTTGTGTGCTTTGCTTTGAGAATAAATGTCAAACTGAATAATAGCTGCTGAATTTCTTGGTGTTAAATTCTGTACGAAGCATGAGAATGCATGTACATTTTCCAGTCTTTTACATGAGTGCTTTTTAAAGCAGACAGTTTAATTCCTGTTGTCTGATTTCAAAATAATGATATATTAGAGCTCACTTCAGCTGGCTCAACTCTTTTAATGTGCTGTACTGTGTTGTCAGGTCATCAGTTACTTATCCCCAAATTTCATCCATACTGGTGAAAATTTTCTATTCCTGATTTCCAGAAGTGGATGTCTGCATCTAGAAAGCATTCATAAAAATAATTCAGCTCTTTTAAAGAATAAGGTTAGAGAAGGACTGCTAGATGTAGCTGTTCATGTTTTTGTTTGAAGAGGAGATTTGCTTGTGTTCTTTGTTTAAGAAAAAGTAGTGTTAAGAGATTCTGTATTACAAAAGCAGGAGGAAATAGGTGAAAACAAGCATGAAATGGTTGTATATGGATTGTCAAGTTCCTGCCCTTCTGAGGAGAAGGTTGGGTAGGTGGCCCAACAAATCAGGAGACAGGTGTGAGAGCAAATGTTATGAGTTCCACCTTTAAACAGCTCCTTTTAGAAGCTTGATTAATGAAAGGAAAACTGTCACTTTGGAAGTCCAGCCAGACTGAATCTTGGGGTATCCAGGGTGTTGTTTTGAAGGGAGACTGGATCACTGCCAGTGCTGTAATTCTATCCAGCCAGTGCTTTGCAGCTCGGGGTGCAGAGCTGAGGCTGGAGGGAGGTTGGTTCCCCCTGTGGTGCCTGTGTCAGAGGCTCAGCCTCCTCTCAGCGCTGCAGGGGAGCTGCACAGGACAGAGCTGTGTCTGCTCTGCTCCTTCACACACCACAAGGTTGTGTTTAGAACCACAGAATGGTTTGGGTTAGAAAGGACATTTAAAGGCCATCCAGTCCATCCTCCTGCCATGGACAGGGACAACTTCCACTAGACCAGGTAGCTCCAGCCCTGTGTGTTTCTGTGATTCTCAAGCTGGCCAGAGCCAGGGGAAAATCCCAAAGAGCTTGAGAGTTCTCAAATTCAGGTTGAGTTTCCAGTTAATGCAAACCAGAAAGGTAATTTCAAAACAATGCAAGCAAAGTTAGGCAATATGTTAACACATACATTCTGATACAAAGTAGAAATAATTACAAACAAGCTGCCTCAAGACTGTTCCCTCCTGGCAAAGTTTTCCTCTGGGCTTGCTCTCAGTCTAAATAAACCTTTCCTTGGTTTCTAGAGTCACTGCAAGCCACACATGTGCCCCAGCTTGGCAGTGGGTGTGATTTTCTCTCGTCAGTCTCTTCATCTCAACAATGAACAAATCAACAGGGGGAAAAAAAAAACCAAACCAAAAACCAACCCAACTGCTCCTCGCGGAATTCCTTCCCTCCGGGACAGTCTCCAGACTGTTCTGGGCTGCACTCCCATGAGTCTCAGTTGCTCCCAGGAAATCTTGCTGCTTCAAATTTTGCATCTTCCCCAGAACACAGCAGCCCTGAAAAAGGCCACAGCCTTTGAATGAGGACTCACACATTTCAGTGGACAGCTGTTCTCCATCTAACCGTGCTCCTCTGCTTTGCGTTAGCCCAATGTCAGCAGGGAATATTCCCTTGGGGCCAAAACCAAGCAAAAGTCCTTTGTGGAGTACTTTAGCAGAGTACTTTCTGTAGGATTTTTTTGTTTTGTGGTTGTCTGTCTCTTGTGGTTTTTTATATGTTTTACTGCATAGATATAAAAGCTTTATTAGAGGGTAAGATCCTGCAGCCCATCATTAAAAAAGTTCAGTGAAAATGTCTAGTATTCAGCTTTGGGGAACTTAATTGTAACACATTTGTATTGGTAAAACAGTTGATTGAAGGTAGTTATTTTCTACTTTCATGCTTCAGCATTCTTGATGGTGCACTCCTGCTCTCTGCCTGTCCCATCATCAGGTGTAAAGCTCCTCCTTCACAGACTGGCAGATTTTGGGTCTACTCTCATTTGCATAAGTTTGGTTTCTTTCTAAAAACTGGGTTTTGTACTAATGGCTGTGGTGTACAGTAATTCAAACAACCAGATTGTTGCAAGAGTCTTGTCAAACTGTGAAGAATGTAAAGCTTTAGTTTAAAAACATATTGTGTCACATGTTGTGCTGCCTTAACCTAGACCTGAGAGCGCATAATGGTAATTTGAGTTACTGAGTTAATCCTTTGGTTTGGTTTCTTTCAGAGCAACAGCCTGGCAGAAAGCATTGCTAATTCCAAGCCAGAGAAGGACCCTCCAGATGTGGAGCTAAAGGCTGAGAATTTCATAGTTGATGTAAACACCTCTCAGAGCGGGTTCAAGTAAAAACTTCTCGATCACAGAGGGCCTTGTATACCCTGGAGAAAGAACAGACCCACAGGGTGTCTGTAGCTGCAGGCCTGCTTCAGTTTGAGGGTCTGAGGGCAATGAGTTTCCCATGGGAGGTTTGCTGTGGTGGGAGGGTGTGGAGCCTCACTGGGCTGTCACCTGTACACTGCTCCTGGTGACAAATGGGCTCTCTTGTCACTGTCCTCAGTCCAACAAGGAGCAGTGGAGAAACCTGTGGGGTTTGATACATGGGTGTCAATGGCAGCAGCCTGGGGACCACTGGGTGGGTCAGGAAGGCAGGAAACCTCTGGGGCCAGTGGGAAGAAAAGAGGCAAAGTGACCTGCAGGCTCCAGGTGTTGCACTCCTGATGCCTGGCAGGCACAAAGCACCTGCTGCCACGGCTCAGTCTCAGCCAGCAGTGGTGGGAGGGAGGGAGCCTGAGGCAGGGGGGGGAGCTGGGCAGTCTGCAGGCATCACACACTTCATCCCTGTTCTCAGTTTGTTCTGGGAAGAGCGAGTGGCTTTCCAAGAGCGCCTCATGAGCTGCTCCTGCAGCACCCTTGCACTGAAGGTTCACTTCATTGGGCCAGACTGTAGCAATTCACTGGGCTTTAAAGAATTTGCCTGGGCTTTTCCTGTCCCACAAACTGAAATCATGGGGAAGTGGGTCCCTGCTGAGCACGGAAATGTTCTGATATAAATTATGTCTAAACCTCATGTTTATGATTGTAATCTCTGCTGCAGCCTCTGTAGGCTGTGTGTTTTGGGGAGGCCCAGGCTGGCAAGGGACCGGTCCACTTCCAGTGTTGGAAACTGGAATGTTTCAGAGCACAACTGGGAGCTGGTCACTGTAAATGTGAATATCCACATGGCAGCATCAGAGCAAGAGGTCGTGGAAGAAAAGATGCAAAATGCAAATACCAGATTGGTTTTTTAAGTAATAATTTGTTAATTACTGCTTCATTTGATGACTAATTTTCAGGAGTGGAGTGTGTGTGGCCTTTTGTATTTATTGTGAGAAAACTAAAGACAAACATTAACAAATGCCATTTTCTGTGTTTTACCTTCAAGGTTATCAGCATGGATTATGGAATGAAGGAACAGAATCCAATTGATAAGGTTCACTTCTATTGCAAGGCTGATCCTTCCAAGGCAGTCAAAATCAGTAAAGAACAGGTAGGTTTTTACTTTCCTTCTGAAAAGCATTTTCACCATCTGTGATGGAAGTGATCACAGTCCTGTGTGGTTGTTCTTTCAGGATTTGTGGAGAGGTGGTGGGATCCTTGGCCTTGCAGATCTTCAGTATGTGTTGTACTGTGACAATCTGGAACCCTGACAGCCTTTGCATATGAACAGTATTTAATTGGAATACACCAGGAGCTGGGATATCACAACTGCTTTGGATAAAACTCATGGATTGTAGTGGAGCTTCTTACTGCTTTCCTTCTGTATGCCAAGAAATACTAACGATTTTTTCTGTTTTATTTCAAAGGTTTCAAAGCTTTTACCCAAAATATTTATGGAGCAGGTTGTCCGGGTTTATTACAAAAGTCAGGATCCACATATTATTTCAGCTGCAAAACAGTACTTTGTTCAGTGGTGCATGCAGAATGATTTCACCAAACCACAGGTAACAAATTCACTCATTAATTTCTTGTTTAGAGCTCATAAGCTTGCTTTTTCATTAACAAGTTGGACATTCGGGCCTTGCCTTTGTGGCAGAGGCTCCTACTCACTCACCTGACCCCTGGTTTTATCACATCTCCCATCTGGGGGTGCTTTGGTTTCACTGAAGTAGTGCTGGAGACACCTAAAAGTGCCACAGGATCATAGAATCACGGAATGGTTTGGGTTGGAAGGGGACCTTGAAGATCACCTTGTTCCAAACCCCTGCCATGGCAGAGACACTTTCCACTAGACCAGGCAGGGAAAGACCTGCATCCTCAAGCATGAGAGGCCCCCCAGAAGAGGAGTGTTCCTAGGTGGGGTGCAGGCATGGAAAACTGGGTAAGGCCCATTCTTAAGGTCATTCTTCTGGCCTCTGTCTTTTAGGTCAGGTAATTTTAGAAGGGCTTTTTACAACTGGATCAAGCAACAACTCTCCCTGGTTGTAGAGTCTGGTTGTGTCCTCTAAGCACATTGTTCAGGTTCAGACACATCCACCCTGCAGAGCACAGCAACATGCATCTCACCAGCCAGTTTCTGATCTTAGGCAGCTGGTGGTGTGTGTTGGCAGTGCCTGAGCACAGATTACCATCTGTGTGTGGCTGCCTGAGCCCCATGCCTCAGCTGCTGCATGACCTTGCTTGGTTCAGACAGTGCAAGGCACATCCCTGCACCGAGGGCAGGTTGGCTGCAGCAGTGCTAATGAGGTGCTGTGCTGAGGTCACAGGAAACACTCTGATGATTCTGTTGGTAGACCAGTGGCCAGGATACAGCCAGTTGACCTTCCAGATTTTCTGGTAATAATTTAGGAAGAGCTGGACTGCCCATGGTGATGCCTTCTCAGCAGGGCACTTTTGTCTCCCCACCACTCACTGCAGCAGTTTCCACCTCTGGGATGCACAGTCACCAGTGTTTATTGATTTACAAAGATTCTGGGACCTTGCATTGATTTTTTCCAGTTCAGCCTGAGGGTGAGCTGCTTTTCCTCAGCTTTAGAATGGAAAGGAAAAGTGAATTAATGTTTCCTGTATTTTAATACTAGGATGGTGATGTTGTTGCTCCTCATCTAACTCCAATGAAGGAAACCTGGAATAACATGACAGATGATGAACACAGGAGAGCCTCAGAACCCAGCTGCAAACAAAGGCTTTCTTTTGATAAGTAGCAGGTTTCTTTTTGGTGCTATTCAGTCTTCTTCCTCAGAAAATGAGTGAATTTGAGCATCAACTTTTCTAAAAGCTGGTTGGATGGACTGGAATAATTCACAGAGCAATTCAGAATGCATTTTGCAATACAGAATGTTTTAATGTAGATAGCTAATCCAGATGGACTTCTAAAAAAAAATTATTACAACAGAGTAAACTCAGTTCTCATTATTTTTTAAATGTATTGGCACTGTGTAGCAGGAGTAACTTTAAAAATTGCAATTCATTGTTATTACAAGATTTTACTACTCTGTCTAGTCCTGATCCCTTCCTTAACTGTGCTATTATATGACTTAGCAGAAAAAAACCCAACCCAGGTTTGATGGGGTTTTTGGTGGTTTCCTTAGTGTCTGAGAAAGAGAGGGATAAGTATGCTTCTGAAAATACAGTGAGGAAAAGAAGAAATTACCAAGGGTGGCATCTTCAAAATCAGCAAAATTAATTTCATGAAAAAAAAGGAAGGGAGAGGGGAATCTCTTGATAATCAAAGGTTATATTTCTGGTATTCAAAAAGCTGGTGCAGGCCTCTTGCTACAAGTGACCACAATTTTTATTGAAGTAACAATGCATTGCAGTGCCATGCAGCCTTTTATTGTTTTATTGTGTATTTTTGATACATGGAATGTTATTTTTTTTATTGTCTGTCCTGCAAAGACTGCTCAAAAGGCCAGTGGTGTGAGTGGTTGCAGGAAGGCTGAGCTGCCCAGGTTTCTGCAGGGCTCAGGTGTGCAGAGAGGGCAGTGCCAGCAGGGGTCTGCCCTGCTCTGCCCATCCTGCACCAAGTGCACCTTGGTGCTGCTTTACACTGCACTGAGCAGACAGGCTCATCAGGAATCCCTCCATTCTTGTATCCATGCCCTGTTCTCCTGGATCTCTTGGCTGTCCCTGTATCATTTTTCTGTCTCTCGTAGATCTGTGAGGGTTCTTACAGTTTTCCTGTACTGGCAGTACTGGTGTGAATGTTCTGAATGTCTATGCTGCTGGACAAGTGAAGACCATTTTCCTCTCATCTTTTACTCAGGTCTAAGAGGAAGGCTGCTTTCATTAAATAAAACCTCAAAGCTTGAAAAAGTCTGACCACAAAACTAAAAACACAAAGTAAAAGGTTCAGTAATGCTCAGGAATTGGAGCAATCTGTGACCTATATATCTGGAAAGGAGAGAGAGGTGTTGAACATCTGGCTCAGGCAGTCAGGTGTGGGTGGCCAGGGTAGGTCCTGAAAAATAACCCAGTGGGAAAGTGCTGTGAGAGAACTCCACAAGCCCTGTAATATCTCCTTTGCCCTTTTTATCCCGGGAACTGGTGCTGTTAGAGGGAGGGGAAATGAATAGCCATAATACTTGTGCTGCTTATGTGTCTGTGCTCATGTGTCTGAAGGTGTCACCCCTGGTGCTCCTGTCTAACAGTATTTCAGACCTGCAGATGAACCAGTTTGCTTAGAAGGGCTTGTGACCTCTTTAAAAGCTTTTTAAAAATTTACTATTCCTCAAGAAACAATATCTCAGAGTGAAGGCATTTATCTTCCTTGTCTGCATAAGATCAAGTATCATTTTGATATAATTTTGTTCTTGTTGATTTGGTTTGTTTTTAATTTGTTACTAACTGTGCACTTTATACTTGGGAAAGATCTTTTGTTTATGTTAAACCAAAAGTGTATACTTAAGTTCTGAGAGCATTTCTTTTCTAAACATGTTCATCTGAGCCTCTCTAAAGAATAAATTTATAAACTACGATTTACTATTCTTTTCAAGAATTGCAGTGTGTGGACTTTATTAAAAACAGTCTTGCTGTGCCATTCCAAGCAGCCAAGGTGTTCCCAGCTGCTGTCTGTGGGAGAGCTTCCCTCTGAAGAGGTGCTTGGTTCGTATCTTCTCGTGGGCAGTGGGGCCCGGGCTCGGGGAGGTCCCAGCCCTGCTCGTGCTCAGTGCAGCCACGTGGCCCTGCCAGGGAAGGTGAAGCCATGCCTGACCAACCTGGTCACCCTCTGTGCTGTGACTGTGCCGGGGCTGAGGGGGCAGCAGTGATGGTGTCAGCCTCAGTGACAGGGTTTGGGTGAGCAGGCAGGGCTGCACCAAAGCCTGGCTGGAGGACTGGATTCAGAGTGTGGGTTATCCATGACACAAGTCTTGTGCTAGGGGTGGTGCTGCCTCCAGTTCCAGAGGCCCTTACTGGTGGACAGGATCCACCCTCAGCACATTTGCACATGGGGAGACATGGCTGGTACTCCAGAGGGATGTGCTGGGATCCAGAGGGTTCTTACCAGGCTGCAGAAAGGGTCTGACAGGAACCTTCTGAAGATCACCAAGAGAAGTGCAATGCCTGCATCTGGGAAGGGTAATTTCCTTCTCCAGGATGTGTTGAGGCCACCCACCCATGAGGAAGTGTAGAGGAAAGGATCCAGGAGTTCACCATGAGCCAAAATATGTGCAACAACTCTTTCAGCCAAGTGTTCCAGCGGTGCCCTGGTGTTGTCAGCAGGTGCAGAACCCTTTCCCTCTGCTCCACACCAGAGAGGCCGGCCCTGGAGTGCTGGGCCCAGAGCTGGGCTGCCCAGTACAGGAGTCAGGGACAGAGTGGACAGAGTCCAGCACAGGGCCATGAAGGCGATGCAGGGACTGGAGCATCTCTGCCATGAGGAGAGGCTGAGAGAGCTGGCACTGCCCAGCCTGGAGCAGAGCAGGCTCAGGGCATCTCATCCCTGGGGATAAAAACCCAGGGAGAGGCTGCAGAGGAGACAGGGCCAGGGACAGCTCCAGGGGGCTCGGGCACAAAGTGACACACAGGAGGGGCCCTCCGAGCTCAGGAGACACTTCTGCACTGGGAGGGTGGCCGAGCACTGGTGCAGGTGCCCCGGGAGGTGGGGGAGTCTCCATCCCTGGAGAGACTCAAAGGCCACCTGGACACATCCTGGGCAGCCGGCTCTGGGTGGCCCTGATGGAGCAGGGGCTGGGCAAGGTGACCTCCAGAGGTGCCTCCAGCCTCCCCCAGCTGTAGATCCTACCCCAGTGCTACTGGCAGAAGTGTGAAATGGGCCTGAAGGCAGGGGCTCTGTGTCAGCAAGAGGTGAGGCAGTGCTGGGATTAGGAAAAGGTCCTGGTGAACACAAGGGTGAGGTCCCCAGGGGGATGGTGCTGTTCAGCCACTTTCAACAGGAAGCATTGGGTAGCACCAAGGCACAGGGGCTGGGTGCCCTGAAGGGCTGCAGGGGGCTCCAGGCATGTGTCACTGGGGGTCTGGGACAGTGGAGGGGGTCGGTGGCATTCTGCAGGTGGAGGAGGGAGATATGAAAGGGTAGAGAAAAGGGGTATGAGAGGGTTGTGTTGAAAATAGGGCTGGTCAGTGTAGTGTCTGCCTGAGCCCTGCACCTCCTGTGTGTCCTTGTAAATCCATTTGCACCTATTTCTCTGTGAATCTCCCAGCCTGTGTGGATGTGTGCTGCAAGGGGTAAGTGCCAGCTGCTGGAGAGACAGCACAGGTTGGCCATGGGAGATAGAATCAGCAGGGAAACGATTGGTGAGGTTCAGCACAAGGTACTCAAGGCCTGGGAGGGTAGGTGGGTGTAAAGCACTGCAGGCTGGGGCTCCATGGGATGCAGGCCTCACAAAATTGCAGATCTGGGGACAGGAGCTGACATAAGGTGAGGTCCTGGGGTGACACTTCAGCTGGATGTCCAGCTGTGCTGCCACGATAAATACATCAAATGTGTTCAAACCTGACAGGCCCTTGCCCTCCAATGGATCCCCACGAACCACCCCTGCCTGGAATTCCCCTGTAGGGATGGTTCTGCTGCTGGGACAGGGGTGGTGGACGAGGAGAAGGAGAGCTGGTTCAGCCTCCAGGAATGAGGCTAGACCCTGTCAGCCAGGCAAGAGGCAACAGGTTGTAGAGCTCTGGATGGGAAGGGCTCTTGTCATCCCCTCCTAGTTCTCACAGGGTGACAGACAAAGGGTGTGGACTGTGCCAGAGGGGGGATGGGTCCCTGAAGCAGTGCCCCAGGCTGACCCCCCACTCTTGCTGTGGCCACACAACCCAGGTTGGGACAAGACGTGGCTGTCACAGCTTCTGGCCTGCTCCCCACCACGGGTCCTGCACACCTTCACAGAGCCATTCAACGGGCAAAGGTGAGGCCAGGAGAAGTTTATTGAGGAATGGTGACTGTGCTGTCTCCAGCACTGCCAGAGCCAGCCCCGGGGGCAGAGGCTGCCTGGGCTTGCTCAGTCCTAAAATGTCACTGCTCTTGAAGCTTCCTTCTCCGTGGGGCCCTGCTGTGCCCAGCTCTGCCACGTGCCCTCCTCCTGGGGCAGCTCTGCCTCATCCCAGCCAGGTGGTTTGGGGTTGGCCTTGGGGTTAGGGTTGGGGCTAGGAGTAGTTAGGTTCAGGGTTAGTTGTGCTCTGCCATTGTGAGCCCATGCACACTCTGGACTCTGCAGCCACATGGCAGCAGCAGTGCAAGCCTGAGATCCCACTGCTGTTTTTTCCAATCACACTGCCCCCACCGGCTGTTCTTTCCCCATGAAATCGGGATATTATTGGGAACAGGTGAAAGGAGGAGGAGGTGAGGCTGGTAGCATCCCACAGGCTCTGCGGGTGCTGCCAGGGAACAGCTGTGCTTGAGACATCAGTCCAAAGAATCCTCTCTCCAGCACCTTTTCCTTGGGTGTTTTTGTTGGGGTCAGGCCAGACCCCACATTTCCAGATCCTGGATGCAGAACTCCTCCCGGTGTGAGAGGGTCTCGTTGTCGAAAGTCTCGCAGGGGTGGCTGCCCCCGTGGTGCAGGTCCCCATCCAGCCACAGCCCAAACCTTCCGCTGCGAATGTGCCAAGAGCACGGTCAGCTGCGACCTGCCTCCTTCATGGCTGGAGACCTCCCACGCCACCTCCCGTCCTCGCTCTGTTCCCCAAAACGGACATGAGACGGGACAAGCAGCTGGCCCGGGTCTGGCACCGCGCCTGCAGGCAGGGAGCGGGCAGGGAGCGGGCTGGGAGCCGGCAGCCCTTCCAGCAGGCAGCAGGGTTAGGGAATGAAAAGCCCAGTGCTGCTGGGCAGCCGATGCCAGTGTTTTGGGGCTCAAACCATCACCACTTGGACCCAGCTCCGTAGGGCAGCCTGGCTTCCTGTGGTGGCTCTGACGGCCATCGGGGCTGGTGGCCGCCTGAGCCGCGGAAGTTGCCGGTGCAGTTCCTACCTGCCCCCACCGACCATCAGCAGATTCACATCCCCTTTCAGGAAGAAGTCGTTCTTGCCCGTCCACCTGAACACCTGCATGGGGACAGCACACAGAGGGGACCGCGGGCTGGGGCAGTGTCCCTATCCTCATTCCTGTCCCTGTCCTGCGAGGACCAGCTGGGGGCTGCTGAGCCAAGCTGGCTCTGCTCGGGCACCTCCGTGTTCCACGTCTCCAGGAGACCTGGCCGAGCCTGTGGCTCGGATCCATCCCCGCCAACAGGTCTGTGGGCCTTGCCAGGGCACAACTAACGCCCCATCACAGGCACAGCCCCGCAGCGGTGTCAGACACGGCCGCCTCCACATTCTGCCAGCCTAGAGCTGGGCCGCGACCGCCCTGCCCCGTGGAGGGAACCCGGTGACACTCAGCTGGGCAGGGTCCCCTTCCCTGAGCTTCCCTCCTGTGATTGATACACAGCGCCTGTGATTCGCCTTCTCCCCGCGGCCCTGGACAAACCTGGGGGCTGCTGCCAGCAGGGTCCCCCGGCTGCTGTCCCCACGTCTGGCCAAGCGCAGCCCCGTCACCCCAGATCCACCCAGCACCGCGGGGACCCCCAGGCATGGCCCGGCACTCGGGACACGGCCAGCCCCGCCCCGGGGTGCCCCACGGCTGGCAGCCTGCAGCCGCACCTTCAGCTGGGGGCAGAAGGAGAAGAGGAAGGTCTCCCCCGTGCCGTAGAAGCCGCTGCTGCTGCGAATGGCACTGGCGGAGAAGGCACCGAAAGCCTGGGGAAGCAGAAAGGGGAGAGTCACGGAGCTGCGTTCAGAGGGGCTCCCAGCGCCGGGACGCGTCTCCGTCCTGCCAAGCGAGCGAGGAGGTGCCCGAGCTCCGTGCGACACGGGCCCCAACTCCCGCGGGCTGGGGAGGGAGGGCACGGCCGTACCTGCGCCTCCGTGTCCCTGATGAGCAGCAGGGCCGGGGAGTCCGGCCGGGCCCCGCTCCGGTACAGCGTCCGCAGGCTGAAGCCGTCCCGCCCGGTGGAGTAGAGCAGGTGCCAGGGCTGCTGCGTGAGCCGCGGGGGTAGCTGGGGGCTCAGCTGGGGCACAGTGGCCTCAGTCGGTGCTGACCGGCTGAGCATCCTCCCCTACCCGGCACAAACCTGAGATCTCATTGAGAGTCCTCCCGAGAGGAGGACCACAGGTCATCCACACATCATCCCTCCAGGCAGCCTCCCAAGATACACACCTGAGCATCCTTCCGAGAGATTCTTCCAAACACCCTCCCCTTCAATACGTTCCCAAAGCGTCCTCACCCTGCAAACCCTTCTGAGTTGGCTCCCCAAGCATCCTTCCCCCCAAGAGGTGACAGAGGTGACCTTCCCCAGGCAGAGGAGAATGCCACCCCTCTGGCCTCACAGTGGACCGTTCCTGGTAGGACAGTGGTCACGGCTGTGGGTACGGGGCAGGCGAGCGGGAGGGTGGGGTCCCTGTGCAGGCGGGGGTGCCTCACCTCCTCGATCTCCCTGTCCCGCAGGATGCTGCTGGGTGTGCTCAGCACCAGCCTGCACGGTTCCTGCTCGGCT